GTTAGTATAGTATATATATATAGTATAGTNTGTGTGTGTTGTGTGTGTGTGTGTGTGTGTGTGTGTGTGTGTGTGTGTGTGTGTTTGTGTGTGTGTGTGTGTTTGTGTGTGTGTGTGTGTGTGTGTGTATTGTGGGATGAAGACTATACACCTAAGCATGCATTGGCAAATCTTAATAGCAGAGAGGCAAGTTTTTCTGCATGCAGCGCACTGGGTGTACACAGTATTATCAGGCGACACGTGCATCTCACGAACAGGCAGGTATGTAGGCGTCGGCAAACACCAAGTGAATATCAATTTCTCTCATGATTCATAGAGTAAGCTGTGTTCGTCAGTCACTGTTCGTCACACACACACACACACACACACACACAAAATACTTACAAGGGCATCAGCCAGGGTCGCATTGACGGGTTGATGTGTATCCTCATAAGTAATATGGTTTGTTCTAAATACGACGAGGCTATTTAGATTGTATTTTGTAAGCAGGGTCTAGATGCGGATTGTGCTCAACGCTGTATATCATCCACGAGCAAATTGACTCTACCAAACCAGTGACACGTACATCGCAAATCAAATCCCGAGTATCTTTACATGTTCATAGCCTTTGTTTATAGATGCTCTATTCGAGAGGATTTCACACTAATATTGATATATTGTTGTTGTAGTACACCTCCCACACATTTTGTTTTTGTTTTTTATGTTTTGTCCAAAAACGGGAAACGACTTTCGCGCCAGATGGGGGACAATCAATCAAATTGAAACTCTACTCGAATATAAGCTTTTCTATATATATTCTAAAAACCATAGCCTGTACAACCTAAATAAATAAAGAAGGCTATGATATAAAAACTCGATTTTTAATGTTCGTGTCTTTCTGGCCAACAAGCGTTTGATCTCGTTCATTTCTACCAGCAAAGGTCAGCAAAGGTAAGGACAAGCATTCGCTGAGCGTGCTAAATTTTCCTGGATCTCGAGTGGGACGACCATGGTGGTTTTGTAACTCTCCACAAATTGCGCTCGCTGGTTGGGTTCGGTTCCACATGGTATGTAATTCAACCCGTTGTTTTTTTTTAATCCATTCTATATCATCACTAACGTTCTACTTAGTAATGCGGTTAGGGTACTCAGCCAAGTATTCAGCTTGTCACTGATCCAATCCTGCATTTTCAATAGGCACCGTATTCCCGGAGAAACACCCGGAGAAACACCAACCTAGTTAATAGTCGTCGCCCCGAGTCAGCACTTCCTTACAGCTTGGTCTCAGCAGAATTGTGTGTTCGAACTGTGCTGTGTAGGAGCCCTTGCTGTCTACCAGTGGAGGGTATGCATCTACTATACCCACGTCCACAAGATTCTTCAATCCCATCAGATACCGTTGTTCGCTACCGTACGATGTGAAAACAAGCAAAAAAAAGTAAGATCGTTGGCTAAATTGCCCTAGAATCTAAATATTTTATCACACACAGCTTACACACTATAATGTTATATCGAACGTAGCAATAAAAATTTAGACTATTACACACTGGTACTCGCACGTGTTCGAGGAAAACTGATAAGAAACGGATAAGGAAAGCAACTCACCCGATGCGATCCAAATAACGCCGGCAGAAGGCAAGCGTTCCGAAGTTTTTATCAATAGTGTTGAGTAGCTGCTTGGCTCGGGCCATTCTGTGAACAGCAACAAATGTGTGACAATGTTACAATATTGTTTTGCTCTCATCTTCACTATCGACTCCGCATAGTAGATAAACAAATGCTAAAACCTCATGTGCGCTGTCGCAACTCTGCGGCCAGGTTGTCAATTTTAAATTATCATGCAACCCCTGCTGCGTCCAGGTAGCAAGCCTAATCAGTGAATAGATTAATTCCAAACACGCGCCGTCAGATACTGTAAATTCGAGGGCGGTCGTATCCTCTGTTCATGCTTAGGTGTGTTAATCTACATCGCAGGACAACCAGTTATTGCCAGTAATAACACATCCTAACTTTCGAGAAACGTCCATACTCAATTTTGCTTTCTACGCACATAGCGTGCTTTCATGTGCACACAAGTATGCTGTATATATATATATGCAAGTATGCTGTATATATACACACAAGTATGCTGTAAATATACACACAAGTATGCTGTATAAATACACACAAGTATGCTGTATAAATACACACCAGTATGCTGTATATATACACACAAGTATGCTGCAAATATACACGCATGGATGCTGTATAAAAAAAGCTGTATAAATACACACCAGTATTCTGTATATCTACACACAAGTATGCTGTAAATATACAAACAAGTATGCTGTATAAATACACACAAGTTGCTGTATAAATACACACCAGTATGCTGTATATATACACACAAGTATGCTGCAAATATACACACACATGTACGCTGTATAAATACAGCTGCATAAATACACACCAGTATTCTGTATATCTACACACAAGTATGCTGTATATATACACACAAGTATTCTGTATATCTACACACAGTATGCTGTATATATACACACAAGTATGCTGTATATATACACACAAGTATGCAGCATATAACCGAATATTGAATACTCTACGAAAGACCCGTGAGAATGAATGCGCGCCCAAAAATGCGTTCCCTCGCAGAACTATCAAGACACATGTACACACGCACATACGTGGATCCACTTAAACCCCTAAGCCCGCAAAGGCATACATGGACCATCATACATATCTATACGCAACCGTACTCAACCTCTCCAGAACTCAAAACTGTGGCTCGTAGTCAAAACTGACACAAGTACACACACACACACGCACAAACATGCACATGTGCACAAACAAGTACAGATACCAAAGCACACACAGAGATAGAATACCTTAGGGGCACGTGCCCGGCATTGAAGTTCTTCATGTAGTGCGAGCACTCCATGTCCTCGTGTACGTATGCACGCCCGGTGGATCCAAAGGTTTCGATAGCGAAAAACTCTCCTTCCTGTAAAGAATTGTAAAATTTGGAACACGAGTGTGTACAAGGGGTCAGAGGTCCAGTGTAATGCCTGAGCAGTAAACACAATGACCACATATATGCATATGTACATACGTACGTATGTATATATGACCATGTGGCAAAGCTCAAATTAATTAGGTCGGCAGCTGCAACTACAAATAGCGGGCGAGCATCGAAACATCTCGGCACGCATATATCTCTCAAACAACTGTGCTATTGCATGTAACCTCACCCCCGTCCACAGAATCACGTACTCAATCTGTCAATAATCACGTACTTAATACACACGCACTAAAAACCACATGTATCCAGATGCAAACCTCTCACACATCCACGCGTCAAGTACAAACACATCATATTTACCTCCATCTTTGTAGCTTCGCCACCCTTGACAATGGGGACAGTCTTGCCTGCGTGGATCTGGTACTTGCCAATCGAGTGTCCGTTGAGATTCCTGATGGGTTTGACTGGATATGTAGTGCCGTCTATTTCCACCTCATAACTCTCCATGGTTTCTTGTACGGCTTCACCCACATCGCACAGCCGCACGTCTATACCCGCCGTGGCGATCCCTGCAGCAGCGCGTTCACACGGAGTGGATCAGTCTATTATTTTTTTCCGGAAGCTACTTTCATGTGTATTGGCGTTATTCAATACGATTGGAGATAATTCTATACACACATGTATACTAATATGCCTGCATATATATGCAAAGCTTCAAAATGGCATAGTTCGGGAAACTGGGACAAGCATAGATGAAGAACACAGGTCAGAAAGTACCCAGCTACCAGGACAAAGTCTGCTTGCACATACAGTACCTTTGTATTCGCAGCGGGTTAAGATACTTGATATCAAGGAAATAAGTACTTACAGTCAATCTGATTAAAGACACGTGAGCTACCACAAGTACAGCAGAAGTGAAGACGCGTCTCTTCCCAGATGACAGCACCTCACACGAACTGTATATCAGATCCCCTGACGTCCTCGGAAAAAAAACGACGGCTCTTCGTTGAATCGTGCATGCATCAACGCGGTGGATACGCGCATAGTACATTTCAAACACACACATGCATACACACGCACATGCCTATATATACATATATGCATACAGAGAGAGAGAGAGAGAGAGAGATTTTAACACCCTCACTCCCACGTCTTCACATATACATCCTATGTTTACTAAGGACAACTAAGAATATCAGACAATCACTTAGAGGGAGTACCTCTTGCAAAAAGACTTGAGTTCCGAACACCTATCCACACCTGTATTGGTAGCGTCCTTTACAGCTTCCACCAGCGTATCGTACTTGGGGTTCTTGTGCCACGTGAATGCACAGTCGATGATCTGTCCACCGATGTGTGTCCCAAAGTCTATCTTGCAAACATCGTCGTACTGCAGCACCGTTTGGTCACCCGCATTCGGCGTGTAATGTGCGGCCACGTGGTTTAGAGAACATCCCGTGGGGAAGGCGATACCTATGTAAAACAGCGTGACGACCATATGAGTATACCTTATCAAGGAATCGGAAGGATTCTAGTAGATTCGTATCCTTCATATGTTCTAGTATATGTATGGAAAATGAAGGACTTATCAGACTATATTTATCACATAGGCCCAAAAGTTTCATTAAAACTGATAGCGTAATGAAGATGTAAGCAGATAGTACAATCATAAGTAAAATGAACACTTCAGATCTAAATACGTCAGGTATCGAGCTTCAGAAAGGGAATGCGACAGGCGAGGCAAAGATGGGATGAATGCATATGGTAGCAAATTAAAATTCTGTGTATACTTGCTTCGGGCGATCAGGTTGTAAACACGATGTCTATCCGTTCCACAGTCTCAGCAATTGAAACTGCGAAACTGCCCGACAGGCCCAACTCAGCATCTTCAAAATACTAGGGGCACGTGCTTTCGAGTAGTCGAGTGCATCGGTATATGTACCATACCCGCACGTGGGAATAAAATCATTACACGCGTTCCCACTTTATCACATCACAATTCGAAATATATTGACATACCTTGATCTAATCCGTTAGCTTTGATGAGCTGGCGGACGTTGTTTTCGATGCGTTCGGAGATTTCGACCATGGTGCGACCGGGTTGCATGAATTCCTGGGCATCTTTTCGGACCTGACATGGTGTGAAGTTTTGACAAAATTATATTGAGGAAGAAGTACCGTCAAATATAAACGTGATCTTGCAATTCAAGAGTTGCATAATAGCCGAGCGAAAATACAGGGAAAATCGATAGAACACATTTGGAGATGCAAGATGTCCGTCAAATTGGGAACAAACACAATTGGAAAACAATCATTGCACTAAAATATCGATAATCACCCAACTTTCTCATGGTGTAGCAAATGGTGGCCACAGCTTTAGCGTCCTTGTTTCTAAAACCCAAACGCAACCGTTCGTACTGCACCTCGCGCATAGTCAACAACCAGAAAACAGCGTGATCTATAACGCGTATCTCACAATTAGGTCATTCTCCCACAGGAAACCGACATACACTACACAATCAATGAGATATTGTACATTATGAAAATTACTGACCTGACGATGAACCTCGGCGGCCAATCGGACGGTGTTGTATTCGTCCTCGTGCATGCGCTCGTTGGCTCTTTTCTCTTCACTCGTGGTACGCCAAAGATTACTGCAACCAAAATACCAAAATACGATATGATTAGTGTTCAATCTGATGACAAAAATCCTGGATATTTGGTTCGTAGTCCCGCTGTTGTTGTCGACGGAAATACAGTAGAAGATCGAAGCGACGACAGATCACGCCCAATATGTGTCCCTATGATTAGAAGTGCAGAATGTCGTATATAATTATATATACATGTAAGAATACCAATCTAATCACTTCAGCACCCTGGGTGTAGAGGTGCGAACAAAACCTGTGGCCTATAAGAATCCAAAAACACCAAACATGAGTTGCAAAAATCTTCTACGTACATTGCAACAAGCATTCTACAATACAAAAGACACGCCACGTGGCATAACAAACCCGACTACGAACATTTATCGACAGCCAAGCAATGACTTACTCGTCTCTGTATTCCTGAATTTCTCCCACAGGATATATTTTGCTGGGAAAGAGATCTTCGACTGGGATAGATGGTGGCGAAGTTTGTTCTTTGGCATTGCCACCTGCCAGTGGAAAGCCGACAAGGGACAAATGTTGGCAATTGGTACAATTTCAAGAAGCCCTACATGTGCCAGCTCTAACCATATATCAGTTGCGCGCATTGAGTTTCCCAACAAAGGCAAATAATGAGAGCTTCAAATATGACTGTGGATTATATTAGAGCTTAACTAACCAAGGTGTGTTGCAGTACTCTAAACGTTTTTCTGACGTAAACAGCAATATCTTGTGGAAATCATCGAATGTTATATAAAGTGACTATGTATTTGATTGAGAGGCTATATGGAAGTACATCTCCGGATATACGATCAATACTAACGAAAAAAATGAATCCATGCGTGATATAATACAAAGGCGCGAGCTGATTGGTGAGTTAAATACAGTGGTATCATCACATACAAGTGATACATTAACAAGCCTTCTGGTGCACGCTTGATTTTAGAGTTTAGCTTAGAAGCCATGTTAAACGTTACGACCTGCAACATCGCTGTCAACATCGCTGTCAACATCGAGTGTATGTAGCGCAGAAGTCTACATCGTATAATAAAGAATGAAGCATTCCAATGTAGCATTTGTAGCAGCCTCAATCTTGACACGTCCTTGATCAGACCAGGTAGACATTAATAAGCGATAATATAAGTGATCGAGCGCAAAACTGCCATCCGTGCACAGAGCATTACTGAACCCACCTTTTGCGCCACCGGTCTTCTTTTTCTTTTTTTCTTTTTCTTCTTAGCCCCGGTTGCTTGAGCCTGTACTCAGTGCGAGAGCAACAAAAACAGATCAGCGACTATGCTAAGGGAATCACAATTCGCGGCTTGCGTGAGTGTCAATACAACGAAAATTCTAAACATTATCATCAACACTTTGTCGAAAAAGAAAAAGAAGAAGCACATATTTGTAATCATAATCAATGACAGTAAGCAATCATTATCTCATCACCCATGCTGGAAGACATCAACACAACTAGAACACCCAATGATGCTCAAGAAATTTGAAACATTTCTAGCCTACCACACCAGTTGGTGAGATGCAGTTATGAGAATCACACAAATACAACACATGCATAAACATATCGACGTACACATGCATGCTATATATATATATATATATATATATATATATATTGTGAGTACTTTCCAAGTGCAAAACTATCAAATCCAAATTGGAGTGTAAGTAACTTTTACTGAGTATTTAAGTAGTGTATTAGCTCCGAGAAACATGAAGACTGATCACTTCAAGGTATCTAGTTATATACGCTAGCCTACGCCCATATGGCACCTACTACAGGTTAGTTCCTTATGAACACTAACTGCTAGCTAAACTGATGGCGACCGTTGCCTTCTGGTTACTGTCGCCATCACCTATATATTTTACACTACTTTACAGTTTTTAAGTCTAAACTTAAGTTACTTTCCATACTCATATCCATTCACAGAGACTTAGCTTTATGTGTGCATACCACTGGCTTACATTAAGTAAGTCTTAAGTTTACAACATTCCACCCTGCTCTATGCAGAATATGCACATTCCAAACCACCACCATACACATAAGTCCACTCGCGGACACATCCTCACACGTCACACAAACTCAGCATCACACGTCACGTATGACTCACGGCCATACGTCACGTGGACACAGTGTCATGCATCACATGGACTCAGTGTCACAACATGTCACTCACCAATTACCATATATATATATATATGTGTGTGTGTGTGTGTGTGTGTGTGTGTGTGTGTGTGTACATACATGCATGCA